TTTATTATGTTTTCAGGTAAAGTTTTAGGTCCTGGGGATAAAGTTACAAAAAATGACAATAAATGGAAAGTGGAGAGAAAAGACAGGATTCGTCCCCACCGCATCAATTTTGTTTCTTTTTCAGTCTCTCACAGAAAAACGCCACCTGGTGGTTTCCTGTGAATTTTTTTCTGAAAATATCCCGGATGAGGTCTCAAGCTGCCTAGAGCCTCCATTTATTTCAGCTTAGTGGTGGTTACTCTCCTAATTGCCTACAAATGGGTCCTCAGTTGCCACTGTAGTCTTTTTAGGTCCCAACTTTAGTAAAGACGTGACGTGCTGATAAAGACCTCTCAATTCCTCTTTCCAATGGAGCTGCATCCTACTTCAGGCTGTATCTCTTAACTTTCCTACATGCTGGTCCCCAGGACCAGGATCTTGATTGCATTTGCCAGTTTTTTGTTTTTTTTTCCCCCCGCCGCGGATACTTTATTTCTACCCCGGCCCAAGGTCAGGTCTCTGCTGTTTTAGGAAGAGATCTTCTTGAGGATGGGCTGCCTGTCTGACCTCTAGCACTGTCCACCCTGGAGTCCTTGATGTAGTGCTTTTGCTAGCCCCCGGATCTGTCTGGGAAATCTAGTGCTTGCTTTTGTTAAGTAGGATACCTCATAAATTCATTTAGCTCTGGCTTTGTGGGCTACATGGCTGCCATCATTAACTAGGTGGCATGGCAGGTCTCAATTTCTCTCTCCTTACCTCAGCTTTCCTAGGAAGAATCTTTATTCCCAATCATTTACCTCCTGATTTTTCATAAATGGGGACTTTGGCCCCCTATTACTCCTATATGTAACTCCCTCTAAAGAATATTGTGGGTGCTTCTCTGGCTTTCATTGCAAATGAGATATTTTACTACAGATATCATTAACTCAAAAAACCCTTTACTGGGTTAAACAGAAACTTTTAAGAAAATTGAAATAAACAAACATATAATTCAGGTTAGACAATTTGGTTTTGAGACTAATCAGCATTATGTAAGAAAAAATCTGCGGATCCCAAATAGCTGGATTAAATTTGTTTAATGATTCTTATAAAATTGCCATGAGTAAGTAATTGAAAAATAAAGCTTCAAAAAGAAACTGGCAGCAGAGCACAATTACAGTCACATTGCTTAACAACAGGGACATGGTCTGAGGAACGTGCCCTCAGGCGATTTCATTATTGAGCAAACATCACAGAGTGTACTTACATAAACCTAGATGGTATAGCCCATTACACACCTAGGGTTCATGGTATAGTCTGTTGCTCCTAGGCTACAAACCTGTACAGCATGTTACTGTACTGAATACTGAAGGCAATTGTAACACAATGGTAAGTATCTATATATGTAAACATAGAAAAGGCATAGCAAAAATATTGTATTATAATCTTATCACATATGTGCATTGAACTGGTTTTGTGCAGCATGTGACTGTAATTTCGAGTGAGATTTATATTGGAAATTTCTGTATGTTTGCTGTGGTTTGAATATGTCCCTCCAAAATTCATGCTGAAAGTTAATCTCCAATATTAAGAGGTAGGGCCTTTAGGAGGTGATTAGATTATAAAAGCTCCTCCCTCATGAATGGGATTTAAGGCCCTTATAAAAGAAGCTTCACACAGCACAGCATTCAGCTGCTTCTTGCTATTCTGCTGTTTCTCTATGTGAGAATAGTGTTGGCCCCTTCTGCCATGTGAAGACACAGCAATGAGGCACCACCTTGAAACCACACAGCAGCCCTCACCAGACACTGAATCTGCTTGCAGATATATCTTGGACTTCCCAGCCTTCAGAACTGTAGAGAAATAAATTTCTCTTCTTTATAAATCACCCAGTCTTGGTGTTTAGTTACAGCAGCACAAATGAACCAATATTTCAAGCAGACTGCTCTTATTTATTCTGGAGTATATATAACTTACAAAGTGTGAAACTATTCTCCCATTTTTTGAAGACTGAGGTCAAGATTCAGTTGATGCCATAGATGAAGACTGCTTGGCTATTTGTTGGGTTTACTTCAACCTCATGTCCTACATAAAAAACTTATATAAAATCAGGGTAAAGGCATTAAAAGTGGAAATATTTTGTTAAAGTCTTGTTCACAACTTCTTGAATTTGATAACACCATTTAAGTCAGGGTGGTGACTTTTCATGATCACTGAAAGAATGAACAGAAACTCTCAATAAGAGCAAGATAAATAATTTCAGTGTCTTGTACAAAATGCAACAAGACAAAAATGAAAAAGGACTGTTCAGTCTTTTTCTTTCTCTTCTCTTCCTTGGGAAAAGGAGGCTGGGAAAAGAACCTGAGCTAGGAGTCTGAAGAGCCATCTATTTAACTCTCATCTTGGAAACTATTTTATTCAAATTATCATCTTAACTACTTAACTTTTCCTTCCAACTTAGAAATCACTATGCTTGCCTTGAAATTTATTGTAAGAAGCAGACAAGTCAGGAATATGAATGTGCTTTGCAAACAATAAAGTCACAGATGCACACAGGACATTTATACAGAGGAGCAGAACATGAGTGAGTCCAGGCTTAGATTTTGTCTCTGTAACCTTGGCAGCCATGCAGACCTCTTTGAATCTCTGGTTTCCCACCTCTAAATGAACTTGTTCTGAGTTGTTAGGTCTTCCAAAATCTAGACACTTCCCTAATTTCTAGATTTCTCCATAGCTTCATATAAACAGAATTTTTCCTAGGAATTTTTAATTTAATCTATTGGATTAATAAGATCATTGAAATGTGTACAGATTTAAAGTATCATGATTTTATTCCCACTAAAACAAAAAATTATTTTCTATGATGAATATGCATACAGTAAACATGATGAGAAATCATCTTTGGTACTTGTCTGTGGAACCCCTCATCCCCAGTTTTTGTTTTTGATTTGCAAAGCACATTTTTTTATTGTAGGAACATATTTTCAGGGTAAGAAGAACAAGTCATAGTTGTAAGTTCTGATAATATGTACTTGCTACTTAAGAAAAACATGCAGAATTTAAAGCAAATAGTACTATAATAAAAAATCTGAATTTCCTGAAAATGATTTAATTGTATGATGTAAATGCAAATCTTAAAAGTGAAAACTTTTTTCAAAGAAGACTTTTATCAGGCTCAATTAGCAGTTAAATGGGTACAAAGAAGATGTCAGTGTATGAGAAGCCATATAGAGTTTAGTGTGGCCAGGAGCAGGAAGTCAGGAAGGTTTGGCTTCAATTCTACTATCTAGAGATATTTTGGAAGAGGCCAGAGTGAACTGTGTACATATTTGAATTTAGATTTCATAAGATACTCAGCTTTACTGGAGTTCACTGAAGAAAAGGAGGGAAAGAAAAATGTTCTCAATGTATACAAATGGCACAAACAGTTGTTTTTATGCCTACTTTATATGATAGCTGCTAACAGCTGAAGGAGATTTCAATATCAAGTAGTTGTTTATCACAAATGTGCCTAAAAATAATTATAAAGATCTTTGTAGGGAAGCAGAAACTCTTTGAAGTCCAGATGTTTTCTCAGGATAACTAAACCTGGTAAAATCACCTATGTAGTAGTAAATAATATTTTATGGCCACATCTGCAAAATGAAATATGATCATCTTCATTGTCTATATAAAAACAAATGAAAGTTATGGGTAATTTTTGATAAAATGAATTATATAAAGCATCATTTATATTTTTATATTTGGCTTTGGGACATAAGGCAATGTGGAGAACTTATGTGACACACACACACACACACACACACACACACACACACACACACACACAGAAACTCAAGTACTCTTGTCTGCCTCATTCTTATTCCTTTTTGAGATCAGCCCATTATATCAGTAATCCTCTGCTGAACTAAAATATTTTTGCTCCAAAAGTCTGCTAGGGAAAACATCTATTAATATATGTTTTTAAATCAAATATTTCCAGAAATGCTTACAAGTCCCTTTAAATCTAGCAATGATAGAATAAAGAGTATATTGTTGGGAAGAAAATGCCCACCTAAAGTAGAAATTTACCAGTAAAAAATCACGAAACATCAAAAAATATTTTCAAGGATTATTTCCATTTACCTAATAGGCTTTTCCATTTAAGAATTATAAAATGTTTAAAAAGAGAAAACAGAACATTCAAATAATCTTAGATTTTCAATTTTACAATTAAGGGTTTGGACTAGATGCTAATTTATTTTTCTCAACTCTAATTTGTCAACAAAAAAAGGTGTTAAAATGTGTCACATTGGTTCATTCAACTGTTAATAGAAAAAAGTGGCTTAAAATTGTGAAGCCTGAAAGTATAGCCGTTCTAATTTACAGATAACAAAGGCAAGTCCTAGGAAGAAAAAAGTGACCACCCAAGGGTATCCATCCATTCAGAGATCAATCAGTGTCACTCTTTTCAAATCTACCTGATCATCAATATTTTGCTTTTTTGTTTTATTAAAGGCTCCAGAGTCCCAGTCCCTATCCCTGGAAATTTTGCGTTAGTAATTACAGGGTGAGATCAGAAATTTCATTTTTTTAAGGAGATCCTCAATATTTGAAGGAAGCACAGATCATACCAGCCTACTTGAGGTACCGTGATGGAGAAACAGATCGGTTGCACAGTCCTTGGGCAGGCTCTTCATTGTCACACAACAGCATTTTCCTAACAGGTCCATCATTTTATGACCCAGGGTTCCACTTTTCTGGTGTTTTCTCCCCTCTAGCTGGAAAGCATATTATGAGAGTGATATTACTTGGTGACTAGTTTACTTTTCTTTGATAGCTTCCTATGGAAAAGGATCTTCCTGAAGGAAATAAGAATTGAAAAAGTAGATTTATAGACCTTAGTTACCATCTGATCCAAATCATTCTATAAATTTAATTCCACATAACTCCTGAAACTGTAAAGTATGAATCTAAACATCACCATGCTACCATCTTAAGCCTTTCAAGGAAGTCTACAATTTGAAAATTATTTTCTTTACCTCAGGTCATGGTGAACAATGAAGTAAATTTCTCTAAATGGTTCCAATACATCATAAGGAGATGGCTCTTGGCATACGTTTGGCATAAGAATTTTCTTAGTAAAAGAAAAGCTTAGGTAGAATTAATAGCTAATAGTTAATAGATAATAACATAACAGTTATTAATAGTTAATAGCTAATAACATAACATAATTGGTTTTATATAGACATAGTAGAGAGCAAATTTCTTTCTAAAATCTTCCATTTAGAATTCCAAGCCCCTTAACATTCGTATTTCTGTCAGTTTTCAATATAGATTTTATGTGTTCATTGTATGCAAACTATAGCCAAAATATGCATTTCTATTCCTGATGCTACTGTGGGTGTCAAGGTTTAGTTTAAACCTTTTGTTTTTGTAACACACTATAAGAAGTATAATTCAGCTCTCAATGAAATATTATTCCTGATCTTCCTTGTTAGTAAAATAGTAAATTAGTTTGTTATCTATTAATTTTAAGAAAATGGTTAGAAAAAGAAAAAAATAATAAATGACTTACCTCTAAGTATGTATAACTCCATGTAAAGCAGCTAAACTAAAAGCTTACCACAATTTTAAGAAAAACTAAAATTCGACATCATTTAATTTCTTTTTGCATTCCATTTAGGAAATGTTTGTTACTGAGGCTGATAAAATAAATTCATTATTTAGTCATGTCATTTATAATGCGGTCTCATGATACTGGCTCTGAGGATTAAATATGCACTTAAAGACAGACTAGACTACCAAATAATATATAAAACATTTATGAACATTTTATGCTTGCTTAGACAGCTGATCTATTAAACTTGTGACATTTTTATTTAAAAAGAATAAACAAGGAAATCAATGGTATTATTTTATCCTTAAATGGGTTAAGAAATTATGAGTTATCTTTAGAAATCTACCAATGTTAGATGTGTGCATAATTCTTTTTCAATGTAGCTGGGGGCCAAGGAAGTGGTTAATTAATATCTGTACTGCAAATGCCTTAAGTGGATACCTATTAAAAGGTATACAAAATATAAACAGTATTGTATATTTTCAAAACTTTTAAATAAACACAAAGAATATATAGGTATACATGTTATAATTTCAAAGTCAACAGTAGCACATAAGTTATTCATATCTAAATACATACTAGGATACTTCCTATTTCAACACATGCACCTACAAACACAGGGCCATGCACATAACCTTGCTTTCTGCCACTTGCAAGAAAGAATATACAATATTATACATTGTTTCAACTTATATCATATTGGAAAATTAATGAGAATGGTGTAAAAAAATTCTGATCTAAGAAACCAAAATACAGGAAGATAATTATTCCTTAGATTAAAAACACTGAAGACTGATGGAAAGTTAGGATTTAAATTGCTTGTCGGAAGAGAACAGGACTGCCTATAAACACTCAGAATGCTGTTTGACAAGTGGGACTAGAACCTCTGTAACATAGCAATCCAGGCCAAAGACTTAAACCATTGATGCTTCGGATCGCAGAGAAATGGTATAGTTGTGGGTAGTTCTCCGCAAGGCAGGGGGTGCAGATGGAGATCTGGATGCCCATCTGGAGGGGAGACGGCGATTTGCTGGTCTAGCAGGTCGGGAAAATCCTTTTCCATGTGAGGCGTTCACTGACATGGATTCCTAGGACACAAGTAAAGACATTCCTCTCACTCTCTAGGCACCAACAATGGGCTTAATATATGATGGGTCTCAACTATAAGATGAATCTGTTAGTAAATTTAGAAGAAAGAAAAAGCATTAAAAACTAAATAAGATACTTGCCTCATATTTGTGGTTTTGAGTGTTTTCAGGCAATTCAGTATGGAATATGGCACTTGACAGTCTTGTACCTTTCCTCACACTGACAGATTTTGATACGGTTGATCTCTTTGTAGAACTAATGATAAGCTCAGAATTTAAAAGTTCAAGTTAAATAAATTGAATATCATGGAAATACAGATGTTTCTTAGTGGCCTATTAGGATGTTATAGTGTTATTTAAAAATAAAAAGATAAATTATAGAAGAAACTGTTCATTTATGTCAAGTTATTGACACTTTTATAGGTAATAAGCTAAAGGCACACAAACCAAATGATCAGTGCTTTTTTTTTTCACTATCACTGGCACTATCTATCAAAACCTTAAAATTATCATGAAAATACTTTTAAATACATCTTCATTCTAATACTAATACAGAGTTGCTGTATCTTGGATATGTTCTGATGACAGAAAACCGTTTACTTCACTTTTTTTCTCTTTTTAAAATTTCCTTTCTTCTTTCCTTTTATTTTAATGGAAGAAAGGCATTCCTTGGTTCTTAAAAGAAGTACAAAGCTTCCATAACACACTTTACACACTGTGTTCTTACTGACGCTTCTTAGACCTGAAGAAGCCTGTGCTCTTTCATCTGAGCTAGGCAGTGAGGATGGCCTCCATTTCTATTTTAACCATGGCCTGACAGTAACCTACAGTTTCTTTTTCTTTTTGGAGACCTATTTTTTAGATTTGTTCACAAGGGGAAAAAACAAAAAACAGAAACTACTCCTAAAGAGCTATAGTAGAGGACCTCCTCACCAAACTCCCAATGAATGCAAAAAGGGAAATCACTTAGTATTATTTCTTGCTAGTTAATGATAATTTTGGTAGGTTATTGCACAGATATTTCTGTTTCCTATCTTTAGCTACAGGATGTTGCAGACATTGACGGGCTCAACTAAAAAGCAGAGAAATACAAAAGCAGGATACTTTTTGCACCTTATGGAAACAGGCAAGATTCCTCCTAAGATGGATGAAAGCTGATATATTTGCAGACTTTCAAATCCACATAATAACTGTTTACACCAGAAGGAAGCAGCTTCCATAACAGTTTAAAATCATGCTGCATACCCACTGCATTCTATGAAACTAGGAGTTTTGAAGCATTGATTAATAATAACAATATGTCGCCTTGTAACTTTTTGTTATGTTCCTAAAAATTATATGAATAAAAGAGAACTGTTGTATAACTCTTCTTTGTAAATACCAATTTCTTTGACCTCTTTTTCTCCTATAATAGTTAAGGAAGATTATATTCTTTCATAAATCGACAGGAACAAAAAAGATAACAGTTTACTTAAATGCCCATTTGAGTGGGTTTTTTTTTTTTTTTTGGTCCATTTCTATGCTAAGAATACATACAAATAAAAATAACCTTATTTGTATATACTATCTTTTAGTTCCACAGATAAGAGGACTCTGTTAGGCACTGTTTTAAATGATGTGTATTTCCCATATTCATATTAATGTGACTAATCCTATGAGAAAGAACATAAGTCAAACGCTGAGAATGACTGAACTAATCATAGTTAACTGAAAAGTGAAAATGATTTTTAAAATATTTTCCATACATTTATAAGAACCTTTAAAAGAATGAAATTCTATATATCAAGAAACATCCATTCTGAATATTTTTTCAAGAAGGAAAAACATTTGATCTTCTTGAGCTTCCTAAATCCACTTATTGTATTTATGGTTTCCCATTTCAGAATTTTTATTTTATTTTATTTTATTTATTTTTTTGAGGCTCTGTCGCCAGGCTGGAGTGCAGTGGCGTGATCTCGGCTCACTGCAACCTCTGACTCCCTGGGATTCGAGTGATTCTCCTGCCTCAGCCTCCTGAGTAGCTGGGATTACAGGCATGAGCCACCATGCCCAGATAATTTTTGTATTTTTAGTAGAGACGGGATTTCAACATGTTGGCCAGGATGGTCTCCATTTCCAGACCTTGTGATCTGCCCGCCTTGGCCTCCCAAAGTGCTGGGATTCCAGGAGTGAACCACTGTGCCCGTCCCAGAATCTTTAAAAAGTTATAATGTACTATTCTCAGTCTTGAAAACACCTTCAAGGTTCATGTTGAGTTATATTTATTTACAAACAGGGTCAAGAGACTAAGAAATGTCCAAAACTTGTGCCCTCATTCTGTTTATATGAATGGGACATATAAACTGAATTCAGAGCCATTTCTAATATGGATGCTACCAAAATGCGTTATTTGCTTTCTCACCTCTGTTATCTTTTTCCGATCTATTCCTTGCTTCACTTCCTGTCCCCCCCACACAGCTGTCTTTTGCTGAAACTCGTGTTCCATTTGGAGCATTTCTAAATGCTGACTTAATGTGGCACCACCACTGACATCAGAATTACATTTGGTCCCATGATCCCGGAAGCACTTAGAATTTTCCAATGTAGACTCTGTTGCTGTTTCATAAGTTTTCAGCAGCTTTTCCACAACACCATAATTTGACCTGGGATCAGCTGACCTCGGTCGGCCAGACAAATTACTTGGTCTCCAGTCATGCTCGTGGAGCATATTCCGATAACTGCGAGGACTTACGTGTCCCTGCATTTGTCTGACTAGGTCTGTTGTGTATTTCTTGGTGGGATTATCAGGCACATTTTCCATGGGCACAGGCATGTGGGCACTGGTTTTCCAAATACCAGACACCTTGTTACTTTCTGATATGCTACCTGTGTGAGTAGATGAGGTATCACAGGGCTTGGGATCTTCCGATGATTTGGAGCAGCTTTGATTTTGCTGTATTGCCTGACAAATTCTATCCGTTCTAAATACAGTCCTGTTAAATTCATCAGTCTTTGCTGCCAGCTTTTCATTCCTTATAGTCCTTTTAAAGCCACAACTGAGATTTCTAAGTGGGTTACTGCTGTCTGTCACTGAAGAGCTACAGTCATTACTTACATGAAGATTGGGATGAGATTTAGCAGGGTGATCTGGGATCACCATTTCATATTTTGGATTATTGGGGGTAGAGCAGGTTTTCTGAAACCACAAAGTGGAGGGGCTCCTTTTTGCACCTATCCCAACGTCACATGACCACATGCTAAGCCCAACATCTTCATTACTTGGAGGCTTGCTATCTATTTTGACTTCTGGTACCAAAGAGGAAAAGATTATACCATCTTTCAAAGTTTTCCCTTCATTTGGATACAACATAGACATCTCATGCTGTCTCAAAGGGAAGTGAGGGTTGTAATTCCTTTCACTTTGACCCTCATGGGGCACCCAGCTGTTGTGGTCTAACCTTTCCTTCCATCTTTCATAGGCTTGTTGAGAATCCGAGCTGGGAAAATTTCGAGAGGTACTTCTTGGAGGAGGAACTGGTGGAGTTTCATTTCTTTTCAAATCGATTGTATCAGTTTCACATTTTTTCATAGAATTGCTCTGGAACACATTGGTACCGCTCAGATTCTTTCTATTTTTCTGTTTTTCTTTCTCTAAACTGATTGGAAGAATGCACTGGTCATTGTTGATCATGGGGTTCCCATGAGGTATATTAGTTACATTTGGCATTTCCTGGAGAAAAGAATCTGACTTCATCCTAAACAATGATAAAACATGGTGTATTAGTTATAACTTTATTTTGAATAAGCTCTCAAAAGAAACCATGGCTCAAGCAATGAGTTTCTGCTATAGGAAAAGGAGTCATAACTCCCTCATGCATCATTTTTATATAAACCTCGCAGTCAAAAACTTCAAGTCCTTTTATGGTAGAATGAAGTCAACCTCTCAGTGTTATATTCAATGTTCTACATACTCTGACTCAAATTCTTTCCAAACTCATCTCTCATTTTCACTATTAGCTGAGACTTCACCTACCCTCAGATTAAACTATGGAGTCTCCTGTGTTTCTGCTACTGGCATTTCCCTTTTTGTAGCTTTTATCTGACCATTCCCTTACTTCCTCTCTGCTGCTGAATTCTTATTCATTATGTAATGTGAGCTCAAGTTCTTCTCCTTGAATTTGAAATAACATTTTAAATAGTAAGATAGAAATCTAAATAAAAGTGCAATGAGGCATGAGTAATTCCCAATGGAAGGTGTTATTTGGCCTTGAAAAAAAAAGGAAAAATTTTTTGGATGATTTGAGTAAAAGGTATACAGGCAAAGTGAGCTGTGGTTAAAAACTATGGCTATTCAAAGGAAAATGAGTACTTTGATATGGATGAATTATAAAGCAGAGTGGGGAGGATAATGAAAAATAAGAGAGAAACATTAGGTCATGTCAAATTGTAATGTCTGAATTACAAATTAAATATCTTAAACCTTGTTCTAAAGATCATGCAGTGACAATAAGAACTTTTTATTATGTGTGATTTGTAGAAGAAAACTGGCAAGTAAATTTTCTGAGTTACAGTAAATAAAAATCTAAATATCACAATTCAATCTTAATCACACAGATACAGGTATATCATATTTATACCTCTTCAAATTATAAAAAAAAATGAGATAATTTACAAGAAAATGTGGGTAAATACCTATGAACAGAGAACAGAAGCAAAACTAAATGGGCAAATAGAGGACAAAGTTATGTTTAAAACATGTTTGGCTAAGAAAATGTATTGCAAGTCAGCACAAACATTCTGAGCTTCCTAACAACTAATGAAAAGGGAGTACATTTGTGTAGCTTTCTAACTGAAGCATACTGCCCCATGAGGAGAGACAAATGTTGATCCTAGAATAATCTATCTTTACTTAACTTGCAGAGAATTCAAATGTATCTGTTAATTTGGTTAAAACTTACTGTTATAAGTATATACCATATCCAAATGGAAACAGCATTTTTTTGGTGTGGCACATGTACATATTTACAATATGTTGTTCTGAAAATTATGTAGGCCTCCAATATAGAAATACTAATTGAAGTGAAATAAAGTAATCTTAAGCATTAAACATTTCAGAACATGATTATATAATCAAAATGCCACACTGTTAAATCTGACATCATTTAATGATACATTTAACTGAATTAGCTCAGTTGCACACTCTCATTGCTCAAATGCTCAGAATGCGAAAGAACTACCTTAGAGGTTACTAATTTTTTTTTTTTTTTGAGACCGAGTTTTGCTCGTATTGCCTAAGCTGGAGTGCAATGGTGCGATCTTGGCTCACTGCAACCTCTGCCTCTCGGGTTCAAGTGATTCTTCTGCTCAGCCTCCTGAGTAGCTGGGATTACAAGCACGTGCCATCACACCAGGCTAATTTTTTGTATTTTTAGTAGAGATGATGTTTCTCCATGTTGGTTAGGCTGATCGCGAACTCCTGACCTCAGGTGATCTGTCCGCCTCGGCCTCCCAAAATGCTGGGATTACAGGCGTGGGCCACTGTGCCTGGCCCACTTACTAATTTTTTATGGAAGGGCTACCTTAAACACCAAAAAGAGTAAAGAGTTACTAACAGTCAGATTACAAAGAGAATTGGAAGATTTGCTTTAAGAATTAGTGCATAGAGAAATATACAATGATAGTTTCTGGCCTTGTGCGGTAGCTCACACCTGTAATCCCAGCGCTTTGGGAGGCTGAGGCAGGGAGATTATTTGAGGTCAGGAGTTCGAGGCCAGGCTGGCCAACATCGTGAAATCCTGTCTCTCTTAAAAATACAAAAAAAAAAAAAAATTGCTGAGCATAGTGGCTTGTGCCTGTAGTCCCAGCTACTTGGGAGGCTAAGGCAGAAGAATTGCTTGAACTTGGGAGGCAGTGGGTTCAGCGAGCTTTCACCCCACTGTACTCCAGCCTGGGAAACAGAGCGAGATTCTATTTCAAAAACAAACAAACAAAAAATTAAAGTTTCTATCTCCCACCCTAGATAATGCATTTTAATAACTCACTAGTTCTTACATGTATGGAGGAGGAAGCAGTTTGGATTCATTAAAAATAATATTCTTTTTGATTTACCAATCTAAAATAATCAGATGTATCTGCCTACCTTCTATGGTTAGACCGCTTTTGAATTTCCTCTTGAAAGCTGCACAGTTCTTCACTAACCTTCACAAGTTCTTCAAGAGCCTTTACACATATAAGCAACATCACGTTAGCACTTTGAAATGTAAATATTTCTTTAGAAACAGTGCCAGGCCACTCACGTCTTACTTACTGTATTGAGGGCGCCAGAGCAGCTCTTGTTCTCTTCCTCAGAAGTACTCAGGTCAGGCCAGGCCTCACATTCTTTTTGGGTGTCTGTAGCCAGAGGATCCAAAAACCCTACTTTTGATTTTTTTGTTGCTTTTTGTTCCTTACACATTTGATTTCCTCCACTGACTAAGCTCTGCTCTGTTTTATTTTCATTTCTCAGACCATCTTTGAGATTCATCCTTGTAAATTCACATTGTCCTACATCAGGGTAATTTGGGGAAGATTCTACTATTTTGTCTGGAATGGTCTTCTCATGGTAAAGATCAATGATCTTAGCACGTTCATTCGTATTGATTTTCCTCCGAAGCTTTACTTCCTGGCAAAGCTGTAAGAAAACAAAATTAAAATCTCTTTTCCCCTAATTCACTTTGTTAATATTCTTGATACTAAGCAAACTGCTTTGAGTTCTCTTTGCCTTATTCAAATATACTACCTGGGTATTAATGCTTTTGCCTCTAAATAGTGCCTCTCAAATATGGATTAGCTGGAACAAGTTTGATGAAACATGAAGGCTACTTTTAGCAGGGCAACACATGGATGCTAAGTCTTTCTGACTAGCCATCAACTCATTCAAAAATAAAATAAATCTGTATCTGTATATAAATACAGAAACACTGTCACAAAATTAGAATGACCTGAATCAATTACTGGCCATACTACCTAATTGCTTTTAGGGTGTAGTGAGAATTTAACAGTAAAGTCATAGTTTTAAAATGTCTGGTCCTACTTGTACACTAACATTTAACTGTCTAAATAAATGCTTGACAATCTCATATAGTAAGTCAACTTATTCTGGTCCCTAAATAGTCACATGTCCGTCAAAGGATGTTTCCTTTGATTGGTCAATTACATTGATGAGGGCTAAATATTACTGAGATCTTAAAAAATTGTCAAGGTGATACACATTTCTAAAAAGTTTCTCATCTAGATTAAAAGAAATATGACAATACCCTACATGATACAATATAACTGCAAGGCTTTGATCACCTATTAGTCTGTATTAAAGTAGACCCCAAATAACTTCTTTATGAGATCTTAGTTAAACCTGCACACACTCATTCGGTTCACTTCTGAATAGAGGAAAGAAGTGGCTTTCTCTTTAGTCTTGAGTCATGTAAAAGCTTGTCAAACTTCAAGAGACTGTCAAATGACTCTATATTTAACAGCCACATCAACATCTACACCACATGTATTATTCAAGTAATATAATAGATTTATTGCTGCTTAATACATACCAATAACTCAGTTGAGAGAAGCACTAGAAATTGATGCCTGAAAAATACATGTGCATTTATTTTTCTAATGCTTATAAATTTATTAGTATTTATTGTATGAAGTCAGGATAGCATCACACTGAAGCCATGCCTTGATTGTTTCGTCCCTGCCAAATTATTTGTACTGAACTTCTGTGGGCATTATGATTTGGGCTGACCTTGAGGGATCTTATAAGAAGCAACCCTAAAAAGTGACATGTTAAATTTAAGGATGGCGTTGGTGACATTGTCCTGTTTTTGAGACGTCATGGGTGAAAACAAAATTGCTGCCCGGCGCGGTGGCTCAAGCCTGTAATCCCAGCACTTTGGGAGGCCGAGGCGGGTGGATCACGAGATCAAGAGATCGAGACCATCCTGGTCAACATGGTGAAACTCTGTCTCTACTAAAAATACAAAAAATAAGCTGGG